ACTTTGTGTGCGCAAAAGAAAAGAAAAAAAATCTTAATTTGTGTTCCGAAGATGAATGGAGGTCTTACGGGTTTGGAACGACTTGAGGGTGAGTAATTAATGACAGAATTATCATTTTTGGGTGAACTAACCCTTTAAAGACCCGCAATATACACACTCACCTGTAACAATTAGTTTGCCAGAAGTATGGACATCCTCAGCTTGGAAAGTAATAGTTCCACCATCACTTATCTTCAGCTGGGACATAGTCAAGCAGTGCTTGTTGCCCAGTGCTGTAATGATGATATTGGGTCCTGCCTTTAGTTTCTTTGCATCTTTGCTCCAGGAACCTTCTACATCAGCCTTGCTTAGCTCCACCTCCATAGTGACGGTCTCTTTTTCTTGCACTTTCATCTCTTTTAGGCCTTTTACTATTTTAATCTTCTTAACTGAATGGTAGAAAAAAACATTGGAAATCCATAGATTAAATACTTTTATTTGATAATTTTGATGTATATTTTAATCATAAAATATTAAGGAAAGGAAAGGATGTGACGTGTGGCCAAGTATGGTGTCCCATACTTTGAATTTGTGCTCTGCATTTAACCCATCCAAGTGCACACACACAGCAGTGAGTAGTGAACAAACAGGCACACACACACACACCGTGAACACACACCCGGAGCAGTGGGCAGCCAATGCTGCGGCGCCCGGGGAGCAGTTGGGGGTTCAGTGCCTTGCTCAAGGGTCTCACCTCAGTCGTGGAATTGAGGGTGGAGAGAGCGCTGGATATTCACTCCCCCCACCTACAATCCCTGCCGGACCTGAGACTCGAACCCGCGACCTTCGGGTTACAAGCCCGACTCTCTATCCATTAGGCCCCCAATATTATGCCCAAATATTATGATCAAAAGAGTAAGTCTGTAATAGAGTAACATAATGAAGGAATCCATACTCTCTACTGTCAGTTTGGCCTGGGTCTTGTCATCTAGGGTTTCACATGAATAATGTCCTCTGTCAGCATACGCCACACTCTTGAGGACCAGAGCCTGCTTGGCACCATCTACATGGATCTCCATATTTTCTCCTTGCTGTAGTACCACACCATTCTTCATCCACTTCACTTCTTTTGAGGGTTTACTCAGCTCCACTTCCAAACGAACTGTGTCCTGCTCAGTAACAGTCATGTCTGCAAGCTTCTTCTTGAAGGTGATGGGAAGATCTGCAAAATACAGATATATTTGTATTGAGAAACAGGTAGTCTGTATTTCCTGACGATATGTTGCATTACGATTAACAATAGTATCTGTCACTTATCCTTACGTTGTACTTGGAGTGTGGCTTTGCACACTTTCCCCTCGGCATCGATACTGATCTCTCCTGCATCCTCCTGAGTGACAGCTGTGATGGTGAGGGAATGGCTGCTTCCCCCATGAGCGATCTTAAATTTGGGACTAGCTGTAATAGGAATGTCATTACGCAGCCATCTGACACTTACATCGGCTGGTGTGACGGAGCATTTAAAGATGGCATCTTTGCCTTCATTTGCAACAACATTGTTCAGCTTGGTAGTGAACCTCACCAGACGTGGGGCTGTGGGAAATTAGATTGAAAAACTGAGAGAAATGATAATGAAGGACATCTATCACTTAAAACAAGCTTAATAAGTTGTGTTGGTTCATTTTGATGAGAATCGATGACTTTCAGACATAGACACTAATTGTTCGTACCTTTAGTAGTGACTTTGGTGGAGGTCTTGTCATCTTTGCAATCGCAGCTGTACTCCCCTTCATCCTCCTGAGCCACAGCGGAGACAGTCAAGATGCAGTTGGTGCCATCAGTGCGGATGCTGAATCTGCCACCTGATTTGATTTCTTTGCCGTTATGCTTCCAGAGGACACTACTCGTGGCTTTGTTGAGACTACAGGAAAGTGTCATGGTGCTTTCCAGTACTGCAGACACTGGCTGCAATGGCACCACAAACTTTAAAGGTGCATCTGCAGGGCACAGATGAGGGAAAAATGAAATTACATTTTGTCTGCCATCAGTTAGATTTATTATTTCAATTTCAAAAGTGCAATTATATCCAACACAATTTACTTTGAAAACTCCAGATGTATGAGCATTAATTGAATTGAATTGAATAAAAAAAATCAAAAATAAATATGCAATAAAAAATTATGAAAACTGCCATTAAACTGTTAAAATGAAAAAATTTTACCTTGAGAAATTATCAACACCGTAAACCATTTGTACTTTTTCTTACTTTGAAATTGCAAATTAGCTTTTACCTTTGACCTGAACCTTGAACTCAACCTTGTCATCAGCCGTCTGACAAAAGTAGGTGCCGCTGTCTTTAGATTCAGACGACTTAACGATGAGGACACGTGAGCGACCTTCCTGTTTCATCTCATACTTTGATCCGTCTTTCAGTTCTATTCCATCCCTGAACCACTTAACACTACAATTCTCTGACATCACCTCGGTTTTTAAAACAACCTTTTCTGTTGACTCGACCATCACAGTTTCTTTTGTTACGGATGTCTTCTGGAATTTGGTAGAAACATCTGAGGAAAAAATAGAAAATAATCACTTAATTGTGACCATGTTCTGGAGGAAGACAAGTATGTGGAGTCCACTAATGTGCAAGAAAATTTTACCTTCCATCTGAATCTTAAAGAGAAGTTTCTCATTCCCAACTTCACAGGTATATTCTCCAGCATCCTTCTTCTCCACATTCTCCAGCACCAGCTGGTGGCTCTTGCCCTTTGACTCCATGTGGACAGTCTTACTGGAGCTCAACTGCTTGCCATCCTTGAACCATTTCACATCAGTCTTGAGGTCAGAAACTTCACAGCTCAGTGTGGCTTTTTGGGAGGCTGAAACCTTCACTTCCCTCTGATAAGAGTCTTTGTTGGTGAAGGCAGCTTTGAGCTCTAATAAGAAGAGAGTTTACTTTATTCAAAGAGTTTGCCTATTTACAGAGAAAATCAACAGTAGGGTTGCAATTACATTGAATATGACAAGAGACAATAAATATTTTCATAGCAGCTTTTAAATAACCCAAAGAAGACTGTTAAGATGCACAGAACCAAAATGAACAGTCCAAAATGGTTTCCATACCTGTTAGTGACCGTTGTTTTGTTTTGATCTCTCCCCTGCGCTTCCACGTTCGTCACTTCTGAGTGGCGCATGCGCTAACGCCGACATCTTACGTCATCCGCCCGGAGCCGTTTCCGTGTACAACAGTGATCGCAAGCTAGATTAAATTGATTATTACATTTTAAATATGGTTATTTTTCTTACAAAAAC